GTACTCGGCTTCCCCCCCCCGCCCCGCCCCATCGGCCCTGGTCACAGCTGGAGAACAGCAGAGTCAAAAGAAAGAGGGTTGAAGTTAATCCAAGACAAGCCCCAAGTCCTAGCGAAATCCACCCCACGTTGGCCTTTTACCTTCCCATTCCAGTTCATTCCCATTGCCCAGGAACTCCAGGGAGTCCGTCTCATCCGGGGTTTCGATGTCATCCACGTTGATGTCCAGGTCGTCGGGCGTGTCCAGGAAGTCATCGGACAGGATGGAACCCTCACTTTGGTCCAGGGAAATGTTGATTTCAGGGGCTATGAGCGTCTTGCGCTTCCGATGAGCCCCGTTAAAGTTCAAAGTGTTAGGGGGAGCTGCACGGAAAGCGGAAAGTAAGCGTCAGCTTGTCCTGATCATCCACCTTGCAGCAAGACTTTGCTTTGGCAGATCCTTGCATCTGCGGAGCAGCCTTACAAGCCTGTGCAGTGAGTCGTTTTATCCCCATTTTAAAGGGGGGTTAAACTGAGGCACAGAAATGTTAAGCACATGTCCAAGCCAAGAGAGTGAGTCAGTGGCAAGAGTCAGGAGTAGAAGGCAGGTGTCCTGACTCACAGCTCTCTGTTCTAATGAGGTCCCGGCACACTACAAAATACAGCCCTACTTTTGAAGTGCTCACAAAGTCATCCCTCGCCGAGCTGGGTGGGTTACTGAGACTGAACTTTCTCTGGGTCCAGAGTCTCTGTTCAGTTAATAACACTTAGCATTAACATAGTGCTAAGTAATTGATCTTCACGAGCCCCCACGAGACAGGTCAGAATCATTATTGCCATTTTAGAGATGGGGAAACCGAGGCACAGAGGCCCTAGCTATACCGAGCAGGAAACTGTGGCTGAAAAGTCGATTAAAATATAAATAACCATAAGAATAGACCAATGTGGGGCCCGATGATGCTAGCACCCGTATTTGAGCCTAGTTAATAGCCTGATAATTGTTTGGTCTCTGGAACCCTTGCTATGGCTGATGGGTGACGGTGGTTTGCTGACATCACAGAGGAGGCAGCCTGGGACAGTGAATTAAATATATGGCTGTGAGGAAGAAATTCCTGAGTGCTCATTCTGGCTCTGCCACTGACTTCCAGGTAGGGCCTTAGCCCAGTCACTTGTGCTCTCAAGTCCTGTCTATGATGCGAAACACGCTCTCATCTTAGGGGAAGTCTACTCTCAATAGCCAACCTCAACGAAAGCTGCAGAGCTCAAAGCATGGGGGTGAACAGAGCAACTTTTCCTTAAGGGATAAACTAACCAGATAAAATGAAGCGAGGGAACGAAGATGGTTGGGGCCACTAATGCAACCGTCTTTTTGTGCAGCGCCTAGCACAATGTATAGCACCCAGTCCTGGCGCTCCTAACTGCCACAGCAATGCAAAGAATAGATAGAATCACAGAAATCAGGGTTGGAAGGGACCTCAGGAGGTCATGTAGTCCAACCCCCTGCTCAAAGCAGGACCAATCCCCAGACAGATTTTTGCCCCAGATCCCTAAATGGCCCCCTCAAGGATTGAACTCATCACCCTAGGTTTAGCAGGCCAATGCTAAACCACTGAGCTATTAATAAGGATTGATCCTTAGGGTTCTTATTCTCGCCCTCTTAAACAAGTGCTAAATAATATCCTGGCTCCGTTCGTGGAGCGTGTGGAGCCGTTGTATCTGCTCCGTTCTGCCGGAGTCCAGGCGCCCGGCAAAGCTCGATTCAATAATTGCAATGAGCGTTCCGGTCTGAACTCTGTTCTGAGCTAAGTGAATTACAGCAGTAATTGCTCAATGGCTTTTCAACCTCTTCCGACTGCTTTGCAGCAACTCACTGAGGCTGCAGGTGCCAGCTGGATGGAGGCCACGGGGCATCCCACTCGAGGAAGCTGAGAGGGGTGGGACATAATTTGGAGGGGCTAAACCCCCCACAATTCCAATAGGAGTCCATGGGAGTACTCAGCACTGCGAAAATGCCTGTTTCCCCCCCTTGTGACTCTGCAACACACTCCAATGGTTCTTGGTTTTGTCCCCCAGGCAAGATTTTTTGGCGGGAATTTGTTCTCTCTCTTCTCTAACCGCGGCCTGCTGCCCACTGGGCTCAGCCAAATACCCTCTTCAAAGCCCAACGAGGCCAGGCTGATACTTACAGGATGTGTTCTCATTTGCGGGGCTGCCCAGGGAGTCCATTCCCGTCTCTTCTGGGAGGGGTCTGCAAACCAGCCAGAGCAAAGGGTCCAGGAGGCAAAGAGAGCACCATTAGCAGGAGATGCCACTGTTAAAGTCCGTTCATCCCAGCTCCCTGGGCTTCATAATGACTATCTTTATATTAGGCCCATCGTATTTATCAAATTCAAGGTACAACATCATTTAAAAATCCATCAGGAAGAAGTCCCCCACCCTAATACCAAATAGGACAGGACCAGTTATCCTCAAGTCAATGCCTCCTCCCACCCAACTCCCTAGCAAAAGAGATCAGTTCCCAATGGATGCAAAGGAGTAGAGGGGAAAATGGCTCAGAGGTGCAAAAAGCTCTGGAGTGAGCCACAAAATGGACAAGAAGAGACCAGCCAAAGCAGATAGGATCTGGCATGTATCCAGAATAAGTAGGCAGTGAAGGACCTCAGGGAAGAGAGTCTCTCAATGCAAAGAGCTCTGGATTGAGAAAGACCTAGTCCGAGACTGGTTCAATGTGACTCTAGGGATGGAGGACAATGGATCTACCTTGGCCAACTCTAACTGCTGGGCAGGGGTGTAGGGTCAGAAGAGGCCTTCAGCTCAGAATATGAGGCTCTTTAGAATAATACGTGATACTGAGCTACGAAGCTATTGCTCCGTTGGCTTTGCATCCCTGACCTTATACGCATGGGCAGACGGTGCCACCCACAATGGAGTGGGAGATCGATAGCATTGTTGACGGACTGGAGAGCATTTCAACCAGACGCAATAGTTGAGTTGGGTCCATCCCATCTGGAATAGCCTGGGCACAACCTAATCAACGGCCATTTATTTTTATAGCATTTTGCATCCCAAGGTGGAACTATCTATATGAACACACGTACTTACACACACACACGCATCACATCCCCACTGAAATGCAGCCACTTCTGGGGTGCGAGGCAGCAGCCAGACACACTGCCGCCACTCAGCAAGGAGAGAGGACATTTTAGCCAAGGGCAACAGAGCAAACTCTCTTTTACCCCCCAAAAGTGCCAAAAGATGTCCTCACTCTCCCTTATTAAACTGCATGAAACCCACGTT